TCACACAGAAGCCCAGCCATACCAATCATAGTTAGACCCTAACAGGTTTAGGTTTTTTTAGTAGCAAAACTGTCCCTAAACATTACTATATAATACCCAAAAGCTTGCCAGAATGGGAAAGTTAGATACACTTTCAAATTCATATATATAAATACTATATATATGCATAAGTATATGCATGCATATAAGAATATGTACACATATGTATAAAAATGCCTCAAGTCATAACTTTTTGGCTTGACAATACAGCCCTTGGGCAACAACCCTTAAGCAAAAAGAATAGAGTGGAAATGTTGAAATATAACTAATAACCTTACTTTTTTTCAATAATTGTCACTTTGATTTTTTTTTTCCCCCCCCGCTTGAGAAATAAATTATCAACAACAAGGATCAAAACCATACGCCCTTGTATTCACATTATGTCTTCAGAACTTCTCTGGGACACGTGAAGTACTGTTATTATTCATTCCATCAGTCAAAACATCTGGATTTTAGTGGTTTTATAGCACAAATGGCTTGTTCAGAGTATAGCTTTTCCCCATTTAAAAAAAAATTTATATCCCCATTTCATTCTCATTGTATGGCTTGTGTGCGTTCCACGCCAACTTTCTTCAAAGCCAAAGACTGCCATAACTCATGAGGCCAATGAATTGCTATAGGAACCTGAAGCAAAACAAATAAATAAATAACTAAAAAATAAAAAAGATCCAATCAGGTCAGTTAAAACAGACAAGCAAAGAAAAAACCTCTACAGTAATCTGAGGAGAAGGGAAGAGATAAATGCCTCAGATTCCTCGTTTCTCTCAGAAGGTCATCATAACTGAAAAGAGGTAGGAGAAAGGAAACAAAAGACAAAGAAGAGGCAGAGGCCAGTTTCTGTACCATCTGTCAGTCCAAATGAATTTCTCTAAACTAGGTAGGTTAGGTCAGAACAGGGCAGGAGCACAGATTATTTAAACATTCCTCTTTCGAATCGAATAACAAACCAAACAATCAATGTTATCCCATTTGTTAGCATTTGCCCCCTGCACCATTTACCTCCTACTTCCAGTAAAACAGAAATGCATGGCACCTTGGAGATATAAGGTATAAGATGATCACTAGTCACTTCTTGTTCTTTTACAGAAAGAAATGAAAAAAAACAAATTTTTGTTGCTGTTGTTTGTTTGAATTACAGGAGTGACACAATTTTTTGTATTTTTTTCCAGTAAAAGTCTGTGGAGTACACACACAGATACTAATTTGTCACTTCTGGCTTTGTGGCAAAAGTTTTACTGGAACGTTAACCAAATGTTACAATCTTCTACTTCCATCAAATTCTTTGTTGTTATAAAATTCAGTTATTGTCGCTTAGCGTTTCTATCATCTCAACACATGATCATCCAGTTGAGCCACTCTAAAGCAAGATTTGGCCAGTGGGGAGCTTGAGAACATTCAACCTGCGGACAGAGCCAAGCAGAGCAGGTTGTGAACAAAACACACAGCCTCTGGGAGGGCCTGCCTGCAGCAGTGACATGCCACCACCAGGGCAGCAGGTCCTTCAATATGACCCGGGGAACAACAGAAAAGGGAATACTGGTTAGCAGACACTGCAAAGCAAACATGAGAAAAGCAGCACAGCCTCCTCGCAGCTGTAAGACGCCTTCACCAAGTGCTCCTCGCTCCTCCAGCACTCACTTGCACTGGGTGGAAACCCTAAAAGAATCACACTTGATCAAGCAATTTGTCACATCTAAGGGTTTTATTCTGACAAACCATAAAAATTATCAGGATTGTGGCACATGGTGGAGACTGATGAGTTCTTCACAGCCTGCTTTCCTTAAAAACTTAGGAAATCTTTCTCTGGACACTACTTTTTAGTATATCAATCCCTTAACACTGAAAGACATCAGACTTGCAACCTTAGTTCAGACTTGCAACTAACTTCATTTTGCATGCATGTATTATTTATATGGTACTTAAATGAGATATCAAACAGTATTTTCCATTGGACATCTGTTACAGAGTACAAGGCTTGAGTCTGGAAGTGAATAAAAACATCTGATGTATTATAAAGGAGCGTCCCTCCTCAAATTCCTTCAGCTGCATGTCAGAAGGTAACACATAACCAAAGACAGCAAGAGAGTTTCTGGCTAACAGCAGAGCAGGATGGCACTTTATCCCTGCTTTCAGCAGAGTGATGCTAATTAAATGAGCATGTGACAGTACCAGCTGATTTAAAGGTCCCATCTCTTCCTGGCTGAACACTCCAGAATTTGTCAGACCCTTTCATAGAACACTGATCTAAGAGAGGATAACCAAACACATCTGCACAGTCTTCTGCCAGATTCATAAAGGAGTACACAGAGATTACAGAAGGTGAGAGAGGAGCAGCATCTCCTCACTTACAGGAACAGAAAACTCACATCCACTTCACCGCTTACTGAATTGCAGTTAAAACAGACCTAAAATTCTAGAAATGATCTCTGATTTTCTGGTTACTGGATTTGAGAATGCATGCAGTTCCAAATTGTGATCAGCATCCACACTTATATCTGGAGTCAATGAGAGCTGTTTTTAGAATATGCAAAGACACACTATGACTCGGAAAACTTCAGCTGTGTATTAGCTTCCATTTGCAAAGTGGAGATCATCACAACTTCTCCCCATTCAGATTAAATTATTGAAAGAGATACATGCATCAGAGCAGCAAACATAAAGGTCTCAGATAAACGAGTAACTCCCTTCAGAGCCAGATCCACTACTATGCTAAGTAAGGTTCAGAGCAACGATGCAGTAAAATATTACAAAGCCAATCACAATTCAGCATGGCTTATTCTTAAAAGCAACGAAGCAGAAAACTTATGGAAAAGATGATGTCAGGACATATATGCACTGAGAGAGCTAAGGTGGATTCACAGAAGACAGTCTTCACAATCCAGATTTTTTATTTTTTTTTTACCCAGCTGAGAGCAATTTGTTTTTAGAAACACCTGAATGCATGCAGGCACAGGTGAAACATTCATCATTATCTTTGGTTATTTCTGAGCAAAAATATAAAGAAACCAGCCATTTTCTAACTACTGAGAAAAACATTCTAACCCTGTGCAGTAGGACATGAGCCTTTGTACAGCTGACATGAACAGGGGAAGCTGCACAGCTGTGGGCTGTCACGCTGCCCATCCCCAGAGCACACAGCCATGGGTGATACTGAGGAAACAGTGCAGAACCACAGCTCTATCTCCTCTTCTGCCCACCTGCTGGCATCTTCAGAGACCAGGGCAATGGAGATACAACATGCCAAAAAGCAAATACTCTCTAGAATGCCACAGAATTTGATAGAAGTACTTCCAGTCACAGTTTCTCTAAAACCACGTCTCCTAAAGATCTAGGGTGAGCGAGAAAAACCTACAAATGTGCTTTACAACAAACTTATCCACTTAACTGGACTTACAAAGTCTGGGTTTAATTCTTTGCTTTGTGCCTGGGGGAAGACACATGGCTGCTGCATGTGCTGGTTCCTCAGCACTCAACGACACAGACACAAACCTCATGAGGAGAATGTGCACATGAAACCTCGTGAGGCATTCACACAGTTGTGATGAACATCACCGAAAAGCCCATACAAAATCCCCAGTATTAATTTTCAATGATTCCATCTCAGTAAAAAATGTCAAAGTATCATACAACAGAAACTCAAACTGCTCAGACTCTGAAATAAAAATGAATAAATGCAGAAACAATTGAAACACAAATATGAAAAAAACATATTAAACACTAATTCCTCTACAATTTGCTTCATGCCCTCAGTAACAGCAGTGCATTCCAGTTAGTGTAGCAGCAAATGGAAGAATCAGAAAGAATGACAGACAGGCACAAAGAAAAGCCTGCAAAAACAAATTTCTCTGTTCTCACACTGCCTACAAAATCATACTCCCGTCCAACCACCTACTCCACACCTCCAGCTTTCCCAGTCACAAGCTCACTTGCAACAAGTTTTGGAAAAGAACAAACACTACCCTGGGCTGAACGTGCTGACCCGCACAGTGCGAGGTGGCACACAAAACAATGTGCTAGCAACTCTGTCTCACACAGACAGACCTACCATCACCTCTTCCCTGGACCTGACTTGCGAAACATGAAGCAGCAGCACAGTGCAGGGCAAAGCACAGAGGCTCTACATGGCATCCAGCCAGCTGGCTGTAACAGATTTTGGTACTGTGTTGGTTTATATATAGCAAGAAGCAGGTCCCAGCCTTCTGCTCAAGCTTCAGATTTCCAAATGGTGTGAGGAGTAATCGCTTGCAGAACAGGCTAATTTTGAAGTGAAAGAGGGCACAGGCGATAGTGTGAGCAATACTGGCAGAGATGCTTGATGTCAATCAGCAAGGAAAGAAATGAAATATCTGCAGATTGTCATATGAATTAAAGCAAACTACTTCAGATCTCAAAAAAGGTAAAAATGGCATGAGACTGGACCATTATGCCTTTCATGTTCTAGATCTTCAGTGCCCCTCGTCACTCTGTTTCCACCCATGTGAATGCACATACAGGTGTTCGTAACCATGGAAGAGTTATTTAAGGTAAGTTTGCAAAACTGAAAACACTAATTTCAACCTCTCAAAATACTCCTGAGAGAGCACAGGGAGCAGGAAAAAAAGAGCAATAAAATATGTAACATACCAGACTTGAATCACTTTACCATATGAAACTTGGATAAGATGCAAATTGAGAAAATGAAAATACATCCTTAGAATAACAAAGGAAAAAAAACAACCAACAAAACATGGGTAAAAAGAATCTAAAATCTGAGAACCTACAAATAAATTTACGGTCAAAAAATTCACAGAAAATTCTCAGGAAGATTTCTGCATGCAAACATGACTGGAGAGAAGGCACTGACTTAAACTAAAAGACATCTTAAAAACTATCAGGCATACTATTCTCAACCCGTTATCGAGCAGTTAACTTGCCAGTTTGAATAGCAAAAAAAAATCTACAGGAAAGTACAGCGTCCTTACCATCATTCAGTGTCGTGAAGTCCAAGAATCGATACTCATAACTGACATCTATCTTAGTTTCTACCTGGGGCCTCTTCAATGTTGAATAGATGTTACCAGGCCGTTTTTCATCATGCTTCTCTAGTTTGTTCAATCCACAACCCATTTCAGCAGCTCCTGATACAAACAGACAAGAAAAGGGAAAAAGGATAATGACAAAATATTCATTTGGGTTTTTAATCTTTCTGGTTTTATTCACTGCAATATAATACATTGGTGATTTCTGTTTTTAAATGCAAGCTATCTATAAAATATATGAAATAGTATAATAAATGTTCAGATAATAATTAAAATATATACCACTTATATCAAGCCCTGGGCATAATATTATTTTAATGTAGAACTGATGGCTTAATGCATGTATTTTCCATCTTCCAAATGTATGCAATCGTATACTTTGGTAGATACATTGTCTGTTACAGAAAGTGGCTAAAAAAGCAAAATTATTTGCTAGCATACAGACTAACAACAACAGTTTTTATATAAGCAGTTACTATGCAAGCATATAGTATTGTCTTTCACACAAACCTTTGCAATATCGAAACGATCACTGAGATTTGTAATTCAAAAGAAAAAGCAGGTTTGCAGAGAAACCAGCACTGAGGAAACTACCTCATTTCCTTCCACCCTGTTTGTTCAGGTTAGGCACAGGAAATAATGGCTTTAGAGAAGCCTTCTTTAAAACAGAAGAGGTCCATGACGACTGAACCAAATCAGATAAATCTGGTTTTCTTTAATAGGCAGTCAGTCCAGAACGTTGTACAGGATGACTCTTGACAATCATTTTGGCTACACCTTGAAGGTTTCTCAATATCCTGCTTTATTGTGGCTCGCCTGAGTGTGAACAAATGGAAGAACAGCTTGGTAAAAATGTGCAGATGATTGTAGGAAACAAATCACAACCCATGCTACAGGAAGAAGCTAAATACTCTTATTCCTCTTCAACAACGCTGTTGTGACCAAGGCAAAGGACCTGAAGCAGTTGGTAGTATCAGGAGATAAGACATACCAGTCAAGCACCTGGGCTTTCATCACAACCCACTGAACATCCTGTCCCCGCCTACGGAGAACTGCTGCTTCAGGGAAGGGAACAACCACCACCTCAAAAGCCTCTGTCACAAACCAGGGCTGCCTTTACCTTGGCAAACAATTCATAAACCTGAAGAGGAGAAAGAAAAACCAGCTCAGGCTCCCCATCTCCAAAAGTGTACTTCTACGCACAGATTACAGCATCATCCCCCAAGCAGATAGCAATTTTCATCAAATTTCCAGCATAAATGCATCCAACAATCTATGTGAGCCTCTCTGTTCCCTTCACCATCCCACCAGCTCATCTACATCATTCCTCATGTCTCTATTTGAATGCAGGTGACCATATGTTCAAAGTGAGAGCCTAACGATGCCCCTTAAAGCACCATTAATGCTTCCCTCTCTTTAATCACATCAGCATTTCTCACGGCTGAATCCCAAGCACAGTTCACTGTCATCTTCCTATTAGCCAAGGAACCCATTTATTCTCATTTGTATCCAACACAGCTAAGTGAAGAGCACCCAGCTCTAACAGATCTCTGCTCATTCCCCATTACTCTCTGCTCCCACCACTTGGCCATCATTTTGTCCAACTCCTCCCACACCCAGAGCTGGGATTCCTTTTGCTATTGGCAAAGCTGCCTGGCTTCGCACCATGGGCAGATTCCACACACGGCCTGCATAACAAAGTCACCAATAAAGATGTCAAAATCGGCCCGACCAATGCATCAACCCTTAAAAATACCACAGAAAACAAGCACTCAATCAAGAGGAAGCACGAAGAACATTTGCTAGCATGACCTCTAGCATCAAGAAAAATGGATATGTCTTATCTGTTCCCAAACCTTAAATATTTTGGGATTCATCCAAAAGAAAACAACGTTCCCTCATTATTTTGGCAGAAATACTGGATCTGAAACTTGGAAACTTGGTTTGTAAATTTAACATCAGAAAACCTCAGGACCTTCCACTGCTTCCCATATCATACTTGCCTCTATTATTTTTGACTGCTACTATTTTTTTTTTTTTTGCAATAACAATTTATTTTATGTTAGAAAACATTTTTTTTTTCCATACACACAGCAGCTTCTTTTGCTTATGCAATACAACCAGCACAAGTCCAAAACATTATTTTCATATATAAATGTATGTTGTACATTAATGTGCCTAGCAGGATACTACGAGTATCTTAATAGGCTGTAACGGACCACAGCTTTGTACCTCTTCATAAAGATGACTTCACAAGAAGTATGAGGAAGGGAAAAAAATTATAAAAGCCAAAGCACAATATGTATGAGTATAAATAAATAATTATTTACTCTTTTGCAGAGTGCAGAACTAAGCTAGCAGTAAGCGTCAGCAACTCTATCAGTGCAAGCAGGGGGATGTAAGGCTAGAGCACAGTCCTGCTGGGAAGGAGCTGGGGGTATTGGAGAATGGTCTCTCCCAACTCAAAAGACTCTGCAATACTGTGATTTCAAAGATCAGTGATGGCCCTGTAGCTCTTCCACACAGTAAGCAGACAGTACAGAATTTCGTAAGGAACAAATTCCGTTTCAGAGGTCACTAAGCAGCAGAGCCTGCAAACACCAGTTGCACAAACCCACAGGATTCCTCAGACAGACCTCTGCAGAAGGAGACCTTGGGGATGCAGTGTTTTGTATCACAAAGAGTTTTGCATTCTTTCCTAAACTGAGGTTAAAGTGCTAGGAAATACAAAGCTGCTCGGCTGGTGCCAGCTGCAGGCACTCTGCTGCACTTCTCCACCAAATCTGTTTCAGAATACGGCCGCTTAGAAAAGCTGCCCACCTGCACGGTCCCTCGGAGGGGCTCACCAGCAGCGGCAACTGCCGCCCTCCCCCCGCCCAGCTAAACATCAATTAACGTCCCTGAGGATAAATACTTCCCCACTGTTCTTTAAGTACAAAATTATATTTATGTTACTAAATCAAACAAAATATGAGGGAGGATGTTTTCATTCAAATCAAAATGGTATTTCAGTAGAAAAAATAAGTTTCACAGCATCATCATCTTTTCCACAGTAATTATGATTCAAGTGATGTAGCAGTAGAAAATAAATCTTAATAAAGTTCATACTTTGATACAGGAGTCTATGAAAAAATAATAATGCAGAAATGTATAAATACTTGAAATCTTCCAAAAGACACTGATGGTCCACGTAGGACACGCAACCCCTGAATCACCGAATTCCACTCAGTGTTGTCCCACAGACTTCCTACTGGGACAGTTTGTGTTGTCACCTTCCAGCTCTTTCCCTTCCTCTCTGCAGCAATGTCATTCCTGCTCAGAGTTGTTTCATCCTGAAGTCTGAAAACATCTCTGTGGGTTTTAGGTAGAAATCTTGCTGTCAGCAAGACATCATTCCTTAATCTTCTATATTTATGTAATTGAGAAGTGCAGTACAAAACGTTTTATTATTGATGCTTTCAAAGTAATCTCAACCCACTTCAGTTCTTTTTCAACAGCTCTCTTGTTTTGCAGTCAGAGATGTTCAAAGATACTATCCCACATATATTTATCCTGGCTTTCTCTACCTGCATGTGAATTCTACATCTTTTATTCGAAATTAAAGCAAAATATGATCACTGAATAATATTCACTTTCCAGTACAGTAAATCTGAAAATGATTCTTCAGGAACACTGCAAAGCTGTCAGATATTTCTGTTCTCCAGAAGGTTAGAACCTTAGAAGACAAATATTCTTATCATCGTTTATTTAAAAACTCATTTATCAGCCCACTAGTTCCATACTTGAAAGAAGAACCCTAAGCAATAGTAAATGTAATATCCAATGAAGAATGTTAACCGCTAAAATGGAGATTAGTTACAGGCTCTTGCAGGTACAAGTGCTGGAAAAACCAATTCCATCTGCAGACTCTTTTTTCTCCCTGTGAATTAACCTTACTGTCCTCACAGTCTCTTAAACTATTCTGTGTTCAGGCACATGATAAAACTAGAACCGAAACCCAGATCAAGAAACAGATTTTTTTTAGTCTGTATCTCGTTTCCATTTTTTGCAAAATAGCAAAAGTGGAAGCTGTGATGAGTTGCAGAAACACAGCAAAGCCTCTGGTCAACTAATGCTCTTTGTCTCCTGAACGGCAGCAAATGCACCCCCCTGTGGAGTCAGGGAAAGAGTGCCTTTCTTCTGCAAACCGAGGTCAGAAATTAACCTGTAGCTTGTGCATGTTAGGAGAATTCCCAGTTGGAAGCCAGGGGATGAGCTTCCTGCCGCCACCTCCTCCTGGTCACTATCCTTCACCGTGTGTTTTAGGGGTACAGTTGCTCTGGAGACTGGGAGAATAGTAAAGAAATGCCTCCAACATTGCAAATACCAACCTACCTCTGAATACTGCTTCCCAATTCAAGTTTTACTGAAATTGATACCACTTTTTGTCATGAAAAACAGCTGTCAGTCACAAGAATTTTTAGTCAGAAGGAAAAAAAACAATTTCCATTTTTAAGCACCTACATGATCCATGACAATGAGCACATCCTGAATAAAACGTAGGCATTTTTATAGCTCTTCTGGAGATTTGCCAAGTTTTCAGCTCCTCACCTCAGCACCTAATCAAAGAATCACAGAATGGCCCAGGTTGGAAGTGTCCTCAAGAATCATCAAGCTCTAACCTCCCCATTTAATACTAGACCAGGCTGCCCAGGGCCCCATCCAACCAGGCCTTGCACACCTCCAGGAACGGGGCATCCACAACCTCTCTGGGCAGCCTGTTCCAGCACCTCACCACTCTCTTGGTGAAGAACTTCCGTTGATATCCACCTAAATCTTCCCTCCCTCAACTTAAAACCATTTCCCCTTGTCCTGCCATTATCTACCCTTTCAGAGTTGGTTCCCATCCTGTTTATAGACTCCCTTTAAGTACTGAAAGGCTTCAATGAGGTCACCCTGCAACTTTCTTTTCTCCAAACTGAACAAGCCCAGCTCCCTGAGCCTGTCTTCACAGGGAGGTGCTCCAGCCCCCTGATCATCTCTGTGGCCCTCCTCTGGACCCTCTCCAACAGCTCCTTGTCTTTGTTGAAGTAATTTCAGCTGTTTGGCTTTGCCTTTCCAGTTCCCCAGCCTTGTTCCAAACAGATGAAACACACACAGCAAGTTCAGAACCACCAGAGCACAACAAGAAATACAGAACAGTGCCATGCAGCTAACAATTCATTTTCTTGCTAAGGGCTCAAGATTCCTTTTCAGGCACAAAGAGAAGAGAAAGCAACTTTCTACATGAATTTTTGACTCTCTTTGTTTTGGGGGCAGGGAACAACTAGAGCTAATTTCTTGATTTATCGTCCCCTCCTCCATACAACTCCGTAACAATTTATCTCCAAAGAATAATAATGAAAATTACACTGAGATGTAACAGAACCACATGGCTAATGGAAGCCTGAATAGATTACAAGGCTCATTAAGGGATGCTTATCAGCTAAGTATATATTGGCTAAATAGTTTATTTCAACTGTATCAACATTACGGAGTGACTGCTTATAGGGGGGATTTTGAAAGACTTCCTAAACAATTCTTTTAAATGCACACAGCATTGCACACAGCTCTTGCGCAGTGCCTTAGAGTGCACATTCAAGTACTGTCTAATAAAAGTACAACACAGCCACCTGAAACTTAAGGTAATTTTAATATTTACATGACATAGGGATCTGAAAGAAGCACGCTGTACAGGTTACGCCACCATCAGCTTGGTTTTAAACACAATTAGTGGGAATAAGCTCGCCTGCATTACCACATTTTCAATGTTTATCGTCCAGAACTCGTGACCTCCTTTTGTAAGCCTCACCATAAATTATTAATCACTTTTTAAATACAGATCATAAGTTACTGAAATTCTTTCCACAGATTATGAAGCGCAGTGTTCTTACCGGTGAGTTCAGCAGCTGGGAAACCAGACAGCTGCAGTGTATTAATAGGCTTTCTCTCCCGATTTTGGTTAAGCCCTTTCATCCTAATTCTTCCTTCCATGGGTAACACTCAGCTACCTCACAGGGATGCTAGAAGGCTTTTATAAATAATGACAGGACTTCACATTTGTTGTGCAGTAATGAGATGCACTTATTTCCTTAAACCCTCACTCCTGCAATCCTGACCTTTCCACGTTCTAAACAATAAGCACTCCACGCTCAGCACAGTTCTCTTGCTGGCATGTGGTCATTTAATTCTCGCATCTTCTGCAGCATGCAAAACACCAGTGTGTTCCATCCTCCTTCAGCCCCAAACAAACCCTGGGAGAGCCTGCAAATTATGGGTGAACCCCTTTCCTAGAAAAATTAAAGGAACGAAACAAATGACAAATAAGAGGGTAAAAATCAGGCAGAGAAGCATCAATGAAGCAGAGGATTAGAAACACCACACCTGGCAAACAGGGTGTGCAGATAAACAAAGAGAGAACAGTGCATTCAGGCAGTGCTTTGCAGATTCCCAGAACATAACCACGCTCCTGTGTTTTCCCTCTCATTCAGCATGGCATAGGCTTTGTGTGTGACATCATGAAGAGGGGAATTTCTTACCTACACATACCCCAGTTGGTCCTTTTTCATGAACATTACCATACAGTAATGCTGTAAGCACATATTCAATACATGCCATGAAAATTTTTATCTGCAGGAGGGGAACAGCTGTTTAAGTAGCCAACATTTTCAGAGAAATATGGAAGATTCCGAAAGACTTTATTTTGAAAATACAAAGATCAAATACTATACACCAGTCCTATCCGTGTCTGGATGTCGCAGCTGACCAACTTTTTGCCATGTACTTACCAGCAATATCAGGATTTACACTTGCAGTTGGTAAGTAAATCTCTGCTTACAGAAAGGTTGGTGAATGAATAATCCCAGATTTGTTCTTTATGATTGATTTCATTTAAATTGAATGGCAAAGCAGCCCAAGTAAATCTGCAATTAAGGTTTTCAATTTCAAAAGGCAGATCCCAAAAATGAAGGCAACTCGTTAGGGAGATGAACAGGAATGAAAGGCTGGAGGACTTGAGCACACGGGAGGTCTGGAACATGTTTAAACTAAATGTGGGTATCTGCTGAACGTGTAACCCTAGCAAGTGGCGAGAGAATTCATACAAAGGTTTCCAGACCCAGCGAGATGAATTACCTAATAAAGAAGGAAAGGTGGAATAAGCAGAGGGCTTTCAAGGGACAGAAAGCAAGCTCAGCAAACGAAACTACAGCCTCAGAAGAAACAGCAGCATGAAGCAAGTAGTGACAGGAGTTGAGCCCAGTTAGGCCAAAGGCACCAGAACTGAATGGAGGCAGAATTCAAACCCTAAGGAGACACTGGTTCTGAAACCCAGTGCTCTCAAAGAGCTGTCACAACGCAATGTGGATTCAATTGCTAGAGTTAAACAAACGAGTGCATCGACCTCAGTACCACTTCCCTGAGAAAGAGACTATGTGAAAGCAGCAGGAAAGCATAAATTGGTCAGTTTGGCCAACTGCTTGGTCTAGCCTTGAGTCTGCTAAGCTTTAGGAAACTTAACGACAAAAACAAAACAAACTGCAGATAAATACAGCACAGATTCTACAAAGTCAGAGCTGACCACCCGGACAAGTGAGGGTAGGAAAGAAAGCACATTCCTGGCACGCAGCATGTCAAGTAACACACCACAGCAGTAACAGATTTTCCCAAAGTATTATTAGGTGCGATTGCTTTTATGATGTTGTTCACAATGCAGCTCTACATGCACTCCTTCCTCCGCTCTGGCCCTGGGCCTGCAGCCTGCAGGCACTGCTCACACACTGGGGCTGCCGCCCACCAGGACACCTTCTGAGGGAAGCACACTGCTTCACGTGTGCACGTGGGCTGGAGCAAATAGAGGTGTGAGGCAACACTGCTGGCTTTGGGGAGAAGCTTGAGAGCAGCAGGTTAAGGGGAGAACCACGGGCGTTCCCAAACCTATGCGCATCACCCCATGATTTTACCCAGGGGATTTAATACACAGTGGCATCTTTTTCAATGCAGCAGGAGATTAAAGGGCAGCACCCACTTCAGCAAAACACTTTTAGGCAAGGTATTTCTATTCAAAGCAAAAAAGAGTTAACAGTCCCAGAAAACAAGCTGGTAACATTTTTCCTGTAGCACATTTCAGTTTGCCTCATGAAGCCAGAAGGCCACTGAGACGCCACAAACTAGGAAACTACTCTCAAAACTTGAAGGAACCGAAAGCAACAAATGCTTGCTGCCTAGAAAACTAAAGACTGAACGGACTCGACAGAAGTATGCACAGAATGTCAGGTGCGAATGAAGCCTTCCTTTGAAGCTGAGTCCACACTTCTCTGAGCCCACAGCAAACAGAGAGGAGGAACTGAAGCACACTGCAATGCTCAGAGCACAGAGTGAAGCCTCAGCAGAGCACAGTGCTGCAGAGCTGGGAGCCCCACACGCGCTATCCCGAGGCAGTCAGCCACAAAGCACAGTCCTGGCAAGCTGACGTGGTAAAGAGGAGCACAGAGCCCGGTGTGAAGCTGTGCAGCACGGAAACGGCAGTGCTCACTGCCAGAAAGCCCCTCGTCCAACACAACTAACTTAAGTTAGATTCCTGAAATCGCTGTTCATTCTGTGACTGCTTCTTTTTCCTCAGGAAAAAGAGAAATTAAAATACGCAAACGTGACTGCTAGAACTGCAAACAGAGTGCTACTGCTGTGATTCGATGCCCACAGCTGAAACGGATCGGATTCCTTCAGGATAAAACATAAAAGCAAAAGGACAGAGGTCTCTCGTTGTACTGTGGAGATCAGCTGTGCCTTGACAGCATTAGTTATCCTTCTATTAAATCAAACAGCGTAATTCATTTTCACGGGAATACAAACAGCAGCGGCACATGCCCGCCCTGTCAGGTGCGGTCACCTCGGTCACTTCACACCCCGTCGGGGGGCGCTGGGACGAACCGGAGCCTGTTGGCCCTCAGCCGCAGAGGCCAAACGCGGGCAGTGCTGAGCGGCACGTCGCTGCCCCTCGGTTCCCAGGTGCCGCTCACCTCAGGCGGCGGGCACGAAGCGCTCCCCTTTCCCGCCGCGCACCCACCGCGCCGGCACGCGGAGGCTATTCGGGCACGCGGCAGCTCGCGGCCAACGCCGCCCCCCGGGGGATTCCCGGCGCCGCCGCCCGACAGGACGGTGTCGGCACCGCCGCCCCACGAGGCCCAATCGGTGCTCGGCTCCGGACCGGCGCGGCCGCCGGCCCCCTCAGAGCTGGGGCTATATCGCAGAAAGCGGGACCTGTCCCGGGACACGGGAGCGACGTTCCCCCCACTCCCCACATGCCGCCCGCAGCCCGCTCAGAAGCGGCCGCGCCGACCGGCCCTGATTCCGCCAAACTTCAGGAGCGGAGGACCGAGAGACGAGCGGAGCCCTGGACTCCTCCGCGCCCCTACCCGACTGTCACCCCCGTCACTTCCCGCTCCCTCCAAGTTTCCCCTGTCGCGCCAGGCGGGTGCGAGGCGGTACCTGGGACAGGCGGCGGGCGAGACGCAGCCTGGCAGCGCTGAAGGATGCCCGGCGGGCGGAGACGGCCGGCCTCACTGACAGCGCTTCCTCCTCCTCCTCCTCCTCCTCCTCCTCCTCCTCCTCCTGCGCCCGCCCGCTGTGCTCCGGGGCCGCTCCCCCTCGGCGCCGCGCCGCCTTACAGCCCCGCCGCCCAGCAAAAAGTTTGTGCCGCACGGCACGGGGAGGCGCCTCGCGGGGCCGGGAGCTCCGAGCCGAGCTCCTCTGCCTGGGGCCGCGGCCACTTCCTCTTCCTCCGAGCTGCCGGGCGAGCCCCGCGCCCTGCCGGAGACGCGGAGAGTCGGGGGCAGCGCCTCCCGCCCACGCTGCAGCCGCGCGCCCCCGCGCTGAGCCCACTGACACGAAGCGGGAGCGCTCCGCCTCCCGGCCGGGGCTACAAACCCCTCGCACCCCCGCCTGCACCCCGCCCTGCCGTCTCCTCCCCCCCGGGCTCCACCTCGGGGCTTCCAGCCCCGCACCTTCGAGGCACCGCGACTCACCTCCTCAGCCGCTTTCACCAGCCGCAGGGGTAGTTCGGCAGGAACGGACCTCAGGACGGCTCTGGACGCGGCTTTACTGTGTCGGATCTTGGAGAAACCTCCACAGGCACAAACTGCACAACTGCTTTGGGCAGCATCTGCGTCTCAACTCAGCTTCCCTCGTAGTGAAAAGCTTTTGTACCCAGTACCCAGACCCTCCGGTCAATGTGTCCATCTCCTTTCACCCTCCTTCAGTGAGGCTGGAATGCCCCCCCGCCTCTCCCCAGCCTCCATGCATACCAGGGCCTTCCTTTCCCAGAGTCAGCATGTATACCTTTTGTTTGGCAACAAGTCCATACCTAGCCTGGTTCTTGAGCCTGGTCAGCAGGCATGCCCAGGAGATGCCATCTGCAGCCCCATGAACAAAGAGCAATTGCATATCTTGCCTTTTCCTATGAAGCCTCGATAAAGACAAAAAACAAAACAAAACAAAACAAAACAAACAAACAAACAAACAAACAAAAAAAAACAGCAGTGCCCTTCCTGCTGGGCTCTAGGCAGAGCAGAGGCCATTAACCACATTAACCCATTACCAGCAACTATCAGGGCCTAACCAGTTTATTACCCCCTCTCTAGTTGCCCACCCAGAGAGACTACAGGATCCTAAGGACACACAAAAATAGCACAGGAGCCACCTTAGTAAAGTTGCCATAGCATCCACCACCATCCCCAGTCTACAATCCAGCCATTCAGTCACAGAAGGCAAACAGTTGGTAGGAGAGGATGACACCCTTTACATTCACATATTTCATGCATCTGGGAAGTCTGTCCTAAGAAGCTCAATGATTTTTCCTCAGTTGAGACTGAAATTCTTCTGGGTTTCCCAAAACGTGTTTTTTGGGTAGAGTATTTGTCTTACTGTAGTTGTTTTTAACCTCTTCACTACAAGAAAGACACTGAGGCCCTGAAGCAGAAAGCACAACAAAGCTGTGAAGGGACTGGAGTACAAATCTTATGGGGAACTGGGACTGTTTATGCTAGAGAAGAGGAAGCTCAGGAGAGACCTTACAGGTCTCTGCAACTGCCTGAAAAGAGGCTGCAGTGAGGTGGGAGTCACCCTCTTCTCCCACATAATGAGAAGCAATGGCTTCAATTTATGTCAGGGGAACAGGTTGTCCTGGAAAGTGATAGAGTCACTGTCCCTGGAGGTGCTCAAGAAATGTGTAGGTCTGGTAGTGAGGGACATGATTTCATTGGTGTGATGGTGATGAGTTGTCCGTTGGACTTCATGACCTTAGAGGTCTTTTTTAACCTTAATTGATTGTGTGATTCAGAAGAAAGAACAACTGCTCTCAGCTCTTCTCAGCATCCTCACACAGTGCCCAGCTCATCTCAGGTCTCCATATATCAGAGTCTCTGGAGTAATTTCTGTCTTGGCTTTCATTCACTGATGGTAGTTCTTCTCTTCCCTGAGACTTTATTCTCAACACCCAGTCCAGCAAAACCAAAGTAAATGAAAAAAAAACAAAAAACTAAAAAACTTTAAGTACATAAGCCTTAGTTGTGCTCATATTCTGTGACAGGCCTATCCATAACTCGTTCAGCCTTTTACAGCTAACAGCTGTTGAGGGGAATAGGAGATTCCACAAGCCTTTGTGGATGTCAACACCATCCCTACATGCCTTGGCAACATTTCTAATATCCTTCAATGGTTTTGCCTCTACCATACTAGCTTTTTCAATGAAGTTCTGTCACATGCTGCCTGTTCAGCAAAGCTTGTCTCCCAATTCAATTAATTGTTTTCCTAAGTGGGATCCACCACTCTTGTATACAGAAAAGATTCTCTTTAAAAGCCTGCTAGCCTTCCTGTGCTTGTTCACTTTTCCGGAAGGCATAGGAGGCAGCTTTAAGAGCTCCCCAAGTAGGAGAGCAAAGTTTGGTTTAAGTCCAAGGACTGTTTGTGTCTCACCATTACCCCTCCAGCCATCATGGAGATCAAGTCCTCCACATGAATTCTGTAACCTACACATGTGCTTGCTTTCCTAAAGATTTAATTGATCATCATAACCCTCTGGTCTGTAATTCTACCTAAATGTCACCCTCAGTGGTCTCTCCTTTGATGCCTACCAGTCACACCCAGCCTGTCATCCACCTAAGAGATATACACCAGAGAGGAAAATCATCTGCCTTCATCTTCCCCTGCCTTTCCAGAAAAACTTGTACCTATCCTAAGTGTCATCTCTGTGGGCCAAGTCTGGAACTTCACGCACTGCCTTTATCATACTTCTGGCCTGTTCAGTGACTCCTGAAACACCCCTCATTAACTCTCATCTGCTTGAAACCCTTGTGTCCTAAGTGTGCTGCTACACTTCATCCACTTGAGACTCTCCCTACTGTGTAGGTGTATAAAACAAATTCAATTGCTATTTAAAAATAAATAAGCACAGAGTACATTAGCATCTCAGCTCCTTCGTAACTACAGGTGCAAACCAGTTCCATATTTAAGCCAGGTGTTGTGAGGGATTCAATGTCTGAAAGTATTCTCTCCAGCTACAAGGGAACATGAATGTTGCTCAGAGTGGCTTTTGTCTACACTCGAGTCCTCTTAGCTATCAGCACTGGTTAAATAAGCCAACAGCCAAAAGCGTATCATCAAAATAATGGATATGGGGAAATGAATTACTTCTTAACCAGTGCTGAACTAAAAAGCAAACACCAAAGCACATTTTGTGTGTTAACTTCACCTATCCCCTTTTGTGTTTTTTTTTTTTTTCCTCCCTCTCCTCATTCCTTTTAATTATTCGCTCAGTTTTTCCTCTTCCCTTGTCCCTCATCATTTCTCCTCCACTCATTAGTTTCTCTGGGTTTCCAACTGTGTGAGAAAGCAGCATGCATTCACACCAGGGTGCCATGTAATTGAGCTGTTTTTCTGATACTACTGTTAAAGCATATGGGGAAGGATTACTAAGTGTGTGAGGAAGAAGTGAAAGTGCAGTTTTCCCTGTATTATAAGGATATCAGGTCACAGATGGCTCCAGAACAGACATCCCAGGCACTGAACCTTGCTGACACCACAGGATTTTCTGATCGACACCTCATGGTGTGAATTGAATGGACATCTGACAACATTAGAGACTTCTGATGGTGCAAAGTCTTCTCAGATGCAGAAAGGAACATCGACACAAAGAAAACAACACTGGATGACCATAGATTGATGTGAAGTAGCAGTCCTGCACAGACAAAGAACATTTAATACCAGTGATTACAGTGGGTCACAGTACAGACCTAGACACCACAACCTGTCTGCTGTCTACTTATCAGATTCAGATACGTCTGCAAACTCAGAGCTCAGAGATACAAGGTGTTTTGACGCAGATTTCAAACTGGAATTCCTCCATCCCAAGTTAAACTATTAAAACTTTTTTTTTTTTTTTTTTTTTTTAATGAGGACAATTCTTACTGAAATTGTTTAATAGATTTTTTTATATTCAAAATAACGCTCATGTCCAAAAATTCCATTGCAAGAGCAACAAATTACTAGAATAGGGTATAACTACTGTCACCTATTTTAACTTGTCTATATTAACAGTAAAATAAAAACAATCTAAGAGCTTGATAAAAAGGCACATAAACGGAACATACTATCTAAATTGATGGTGTATACCTAAGCTGTTGTTTCTGGACTATCACTGTGAGAAACTCCAGAATTCTGACTCACACACTGTTTAAAATATGCATTATTCCCATATTTTGGGATAATTGGCCTCTTTCAGAACCATTTTAGTACAGATTTGATTAAAGAGAAGATCTCAAACTTATTCGGAGCACCACATGAAATACTTCTTATAGTCAAAGAGAAACATTCTTCAAGAGAAATCCTGATTAATCAAGATTAACTTGAAAACTCCAAAATAAGCATCCTAGACATTTCATTTTAAATATATATACATGCACAAACTAGTCCAAAACACAAGACTCTGATAATTAAATCATAAAATTCCTGCTCTAACAGCTAACTAGAAAAAACTGTGGAAGACCCTATTGCTACCAGCAGCAGTAAGATGCTGCCCCTACACAACATACTAGTAGGCAACATTCGTTTATTTTAGTGAGTTAAAAATTCTTTGATGCCTTTTTATTCCTATTTCTATCCAGTGCAATTTCTCTTATAAATCCCCATACTTCACAGTACAGAACTCTATAACCAGGAGTGATCACATTTTCCATTTGCACTTTGTCATGCCAGGTGCAGCTGGGTAAAACAAGTTCAAACTAGGTGTAAAATTCTACTGCTAGGGCAAGTGAAGAATTCTGCTCTGCCAAATATCTGCACTTACTTTGGCACAGGCAGTGATAATTACGCATTGTGAAAAGTAGCAAGAAATCGTATGTACAGTGCTTCTAGTTACACTTGTTGATAATGGGAATTCCAAGCCTCATTTGAACAACTACTTGGGAAGATCCACCAAAGTATTAGCAATTCATGTTCCAAAACCCTAATTCCGGTTACTGGTATTTGCAGTATAG